CCCCCCCAAAACAAATCTTTGGGGTTGTTTTTTTCCAATAAACGTGGAAATTGAGAATCATCCAATAAGAAGGATCCCAATTTTTTTCAAATGAACCAGGTTGATATGACGAATGACATGACATACAACTTAGGGGATGTTCGGTTGTGGCTTAATGGGCTGTATAAGCCGTATGGCTTATTTGCACAATTATATCTAGTTGTTCGATTTCTAACTGTGCCTTACATGCTCCTGCTCCATCCCGTCTTTTTGTTCGATTTCTAATTGTGTCTGAAATGGGTAAATCGACCTTTCTATTCAACTTCTAATTGTGCTTTGATTTCTGTCTTTCTGTTCGATTGGCTTCTGCATCTCATTTCTCACCGCGCTACCATGTTTTGAACAAAAGAAGAACCAAACCAAAAGGCTGTTCCATTTGAAACAGGAACAAAAGAAGAACCAAACTATGTCTTTGAACCAAACTCTGTTAACCAAGTTGTTTTTATTTAAAAAAAACTTTTACATTGATATTCTTTTTATAATTATAAGTAATTTGTCCAACATTTTTATCAAACTGTTGTTTTATTCAGACAAAAACAAAGACTTGAGGGTAAAATGGTCAATTATGACATTCAAACTGTTTATTCAGCACAACAATCGAATAATAACTTATCTGTTAATATACAGACATCTATATCAATACAGACAGCTATATCCATACAAGTCTTAACAGAAAACGAACCGAACAACCCCTTAATATCATTTGTTAACATGACAAACGTCAACGTCTTATATATTCAAATCCTCTGTTGTATGAGTAGGGCAGGTCGGTAGGCGTAGGGTAGTTAGGGTAGGTCGGTAGGGGTAGGGTAGAGGTGGGATAGATACTAGATAAAAATAGAAACAAGAATAAGACGTATACGATAATTCATGCTCCTCTCTTTTACTCTATGGGGCCTTGTAAAACAACGCATGTTGATATACAGTGTTTATACATTCTTGTTTTATATATGAACATTTCATCTTTTTATATATGAAATAATACTGTGTAAGGGGTTGTTTGTTTACCTCTTAATAGTTCTATTAAGAGGCAACCTCTGAATCGTTAAGAGGTGAGTCTTGTTTGACAAAAAAAAGTCTGTCTCTTAATGGTTCTAAAATACTTTGAATGATTTTGTATCCTGGATCTCCCGTAACCATTAAGAGCCCTAATTTCATTATACACAATTACCAAACAATTATATTTCATTTTGCACTGTATCATGAGAGCTAGGGGTGTTCGTGGTCCGGTTTAGGCGGTTTAACCCCTCAGACCACAAACCAAACCGTAATTACGGTTTAATTTTTTCTCAAACCGAGCGGTTTGACATCAAGTGCTCAGATCGGTCAAACTAGACCACGAAAAGACGATCTAGTCTGACCGGTTTAGGCGGTTTGGGCCTTTAATGGACTTTAAATATTAAACTTAAAAAACATATATAATTTAGAATTTTAGATTAAATATCCATTTTAACAAAACAAAATATCTAATCAAATCAATATAATAATTAAGCAGCTTTTGAGTACAAAGTCGAAGCAATCCAAAGTACAAACAAATATATATATATATATATATATATATATATATATATAATACATATTAGAAAACAAACAAATTAACAAAGTTACAACTCCATTGTGAGTATTGAGTAACAAAATCCACGACTTTATAACATTTAAATAATTCAATTATTGAGTTTGAGTTCTTGACCAAACAAAAAAGAAGGCAAATCTAAGTTGGTTGAATCACTTGGTTGATGTCTTGATGATGTGCACCGAAATCAAACCATGGATTAGAAAGATCGATAGAGTGATAGAGTTCTTGAGGAACTTCAAAATTTGGAGACCGTCAATATCAAATATGTAGATATGTTTAATGGTTTTAGGCGCCGATTTTGATTATGTTAGATGTTAGGCTTAGGGACATATTTGGGTCATAACCCATAAGTTAAAAAAGTTGGGCTTGCTAATACTAAAATAGATAGATAGATAGATAAATAAATATATATATATATATATATATGTCTATATTTGGCGGTCGGTTTGGTGCAACCCGCCCAAATAAGGTTCTAGACCGCAGACCGGACTGGACTGCCCGGTTTTGCTATTTTCTAAACCAGACCGGACCACCAGACCGCTCAAACCGCCAAAAACGGTCCGGTTTGACTTGGTTCGGCCGGTTTGAGTAGCCCAACGGTTTTTTTGAACACCCCTAATGAGAGCCTTTTAATCATTTTGATCACTTAATCATTCTGCACCAAACCATTCAGCAATTGCCAAACAGCCCCTAAATATTAGATTTTCACATGTATTGTTTCGTATATGAAACAATGTACAGAAACTGGTTTGTAAGTTTGTACTGATTATTGTGTTTTGTAAAAAAGGGAAACAGACTGTTAAAATAATCATGTTATCATAGAAACATGATCATTGTTTTTGAAGTCCTTAGAAACCTCGAATAAATTCATCCTCTTATCACCACTACTACACGGTTCTAAATGACGTGAGACATGGTGACGAGATAAAATTTCAAGTCTTACAAGTTACAGCGAGAATACGACGTTTTTCAAGGTGTGCCCAAAACGGCATATATATATATATACACATACATAAACACACATACACTTGTGTGTATTGGTGCTCTGAATAATATCGTAGAACAAATTGAATTTATAACCACAAGGGTGGTGCTTGATTGGTTTGAACTTGGCTCCAAAGGTCAAAAGTACCAGGAGGTCTCAGGTTCAAATCCAAGGAGGAATAAAAATCCCCTTGTGGCCATGGAGGTTCAAATGCGGTGACTCCGGGCTATCTGCAAAGCAGGTGGTCGTCCTGGAATTAGTCGGCTTGCATAGCGGGTTGGATATACAGGTTAATAAAAAAAACAAATTAAATTTATATAAAGTTATGAAATTAAATTAAATACCCCACATATTCGGTATTTAGCCAGGTCTGCAAGTTACAGACCTCAATATTACGGATGTAGTGATATTTGGGTCAATTCAGGAGATGAATGACTAAAAGACCAATTTGGATGAATAAAATTGTTATTTGAGTCAATTTCCCTAAATAATCAATATACAAATTAAAAATAGAAAATTAATGCATCGATTTAAGTTAAAAATATATAGACTTTATTTTATAAGTAACTAATGCTTAATTTTTTTTAAAAGAGCAAATCGCATGAAAATGTAACATACTTTGTTTTTTATTCCTATTTTAGGTAACATACTTTTAAAACCTCTATTTTGTTACTTAAAATATGACATTTCAAACATTAACATGTTACTATGATGACGTGACAAATGACATGAAATATGACTCAACATTTCATTTTAAAAGTGTACTAAAACTCACATTGTTAACCACAAGGATGGTGTCTGATTGGTTTGAGCTTGGCTCCAGAGGTCAAAAGTACCAGGAGGTCTCAAGTTCAAATTCAAGTAGGAATAAAAATCCCCTTGTGGCCACGAAGGTTCAAATGCGGCGGCTCCGGGCTATTTGCAAAGTAGGTGGTCGACCCTGGATTAGTCGGCTCGCATAGCGAATTGGATATCCAGATTAATAAAAAAAAAGCTCACATTGTTTTGAACAACCAATCGGAGTCAGCTACAACGTCTCGTTTAGAAACTAGCTTCATTTTTCATGTGAAAGTCAATTATTTAATCATCTAATTCATCCAACTTGGGCCATGTTCTGCAACCCTAAGCTAGCTTATTTTTTGAGCTTATTAAAAAAACCCCATTTGATTTTTCATAAGCTAGCTTATTAAAATCCTACTTCAAGTAACATTTCATTAAGCTCCGGTAGCTTTTTCCACTTTTGCCCTATTATACCCCTTATATTTTATCAGCCAACACCAACAGCTTAATTTTCAGCTAGTTTCCCGAGCATAACTTCTTATAGATCGGATATATCGTCCTTTTGTTAATTTTTATAATAACGTGTATAGTTTTCCTGTTGTTTTGCTGATCCATCAACAGTTTTGCTTTTTTCTTCAGCTGTTGATAAATGTGTCTTAAGATATGCGATATGCTTATGGGAATGTAGATAAATATGTCTTAAGGGCCGTTTACTCAAATGCTTACCGAGTAAGTACTTACCGATAGGAGTCAACACTATAATTTATTTTTCTCGGTAAGATTATAGTGCATCAAAACGATATAGTATGCAACAATTTATCTGGTAAGCACTTACCTGAGCAAGAGTCGTCACTCTCACTTACTGGGTAAGACTCTCCATTCTTTCACCATTCTTACCGGGTAAGATTCTCCATCATTTTATCGCTCTAACCAGGTAAGATTCTAAACCCTTACCAGATATTGGTAACCCAACCTTTATAGAAGTCAAAGATTCCAACCTACTAAAGAGGGCTTTTGGGCCAAAAATATTCAGTAACCCAATTTCTAGAGATCAAAGGTTCCAACTGCCAACGGTATTCGGTGACCCAACCTCTCTAGAGGTTAAGGGTTCCAATCTCATCAAAGATGAGGTGTGTGTGTGAGTTTCATTTACGTTATATAAATACTACTTGTGTACCTGTGCAATGTGGTGGGAGCCGTGAATTTTAACGATTTTGAAGTTTCACTGGTTTTATTAGAGAAGATTACAGTCTATTGATGGAAAAAATTGTATAACACTTTAAAGTCCAATATATTTAAAATCCAACATATTTAAACGACTTCACAAATGTGTTCGATTTACACCAAGAGCAAAGAATCAAGAGACCGAGAGTTCTAGAGCAATTGAATGAGAAATGAATGAGAGAACTTTTAATAACTCATGGTGAATATCAATTTGAATCTCACTTTGGGGGATGGGGAGAAGACATAGAGGTATGAGAGGGTGAATGCATGAGTGAAATGTGTCAAAAGTATCTTGGGAACATGTAAAGAAAAGACAATAATGTGCATTGGTAACTTGTACTATATGTTATTTTAATTGTAGATCAAAAGATTTTAAGATTGAATGCATAAAGTAGTAGTACTTAATGCATTATGAGTTGTTTTAAGACTTTTAAGACTTTGTGCATTAAAAATTGTTTTTAAGACTTTTGGTAAATCTGGTTTATAAGATAGTATAGATTACGCACTTCAGAGAAAATGTTTCAATCTCACATACAAAAAAAAAAAGAGTTCCAACCAACTAAAGGTGAGAATTGTGTATGGGTTTATTTATCGTATATAAATATTATAAACTAAAAAAAAAGGGTTCCAACCTCGTTCTAACATGACGCTAAACCGATTTCAGATCCAACTCAGAAAATAGGCTGCCCTACACAATTCATCTAACAACTCGTAAGTTATTAGAATCGGAACCCGTGTTTTAGTTTAATGCCTAATAATCTATGCAAAATCTTCAACTATCGGCTTTTTTTTCTTAATCAATAGTAACGGATTTGAGAAAGGACTCTGATTGTATTATACTACACGAGCTTTTCTCCGCCCAAACATACAGTCCCATCTTTTTGGTACTGCAGATATCTATAAGGCTGGAATATGGGTGCCAACACACAACGAACTGAAAACCACAAAGAAATGACTGAGAGTTACAAGTTACGATTTAATAGTTAATGAGAAATTTGCACTTTGATATAGCAGTAAAACATACAAATGGATGCTAATTTGCTAGTAGACGTTGCAATTTAGTTATAATCATGAATTCAAGGTGTCGTTTGTATGATAACACGTTTTTTGTTGTACGGTTGTGTTAACTTGGAGATGGAAGTCTTCTTTCGTTTCTTTAGAGGTGGGAAGAAGGGGGATTGACCAATTAATTAGGGACCAGTCTATTACGCAATTTTTGGCCACTCGATTATTATTTTAAACCCAAAAAAACGTATTTATAAAATTCAAAATTATTTAATATTGATCCTATTTTGAAGTTATTGACGAGAAGATTATAATGATATTATTTATAATTTTTTTAATGCATTTTAGTTAACTACAAGAGTACTCGCGCAATGCAGCGTGATACATCTCGATTTTAATGTTCTATTTTACTATTTGTCTTTGTCGATGTTATAATACGATTTTATGTGTTTTTAAGAAAACAATAATGATTTTATTTTTGGATAAAATATAAATTTGAAGATATCATAAAAATTTGAAAAAAAAAATATATATCAATGTTAATATTAAATCAACGATTTAAAAGTTTTAATTTTTTATTATTATTATAATGTAATTTAAGTTTCATAATGAATTAATTTATTTTTAGTTTAATAATATAACATTTTATAAAGATAATAATTAAGTATTATATTAGAACTCAATTATTATCCTAATTATATTTTAAATTCTTTTATATTTAAAATAAGATGTTTATCCTGTATTTGATTATGTTTATCTACAATTAGTTACACGAATCCAGATATGAAGCTTTAATAAGTTGTATTTACGCACAATCTACTTGTAATCTTGAATTTTAAGTAATATACATTAATAAACAGTACTTCACGCATAAAAAGTGGTTTTTAAGAGTTTTTGTCAAATGCTTTATAATATAGTATAGATATATGATTATATATATTTTAATATGATGAAGATATAAAATGAAAAATTAAATAAATAACTATAAGGTATCAAATAGAAGTTTTAAAATTAATTCACTACGTATTTATACTATTTTAATAATATGATTAAATAAAAAAATCAATATTAGACTCGTTTCGTAGGTGTTGATGAGATCATGGACGTACCAGATTTTTTTTCAAAGAGTGTCACCATTTGATTGTAAGAATAAAATATAGGGATTTTTTTTATAAAGTTATTATGGTTAATTAATTGTTTTTCATATGTGAGGTTCTCTGTTTAAATCTTTTATTGCAATTCTTTTTTTTTTTCTAGAAACATGATAAATCTGAAATTAAAAGTAAAAAAGAAAAAAGAAAATGACACCATCGTGATTCAAAATCGGGTATGGGGTGGAAGAAAATGTTTGCAAACCAACTCTACCAAGGAAAATTTGTATCCTCGTTGTAGTTTCAAAATATATATGGTGGCACACAAGATTAATACGGTTGTGATTTTCACAACCCTAATTTTTTTACACTACGACAGATGAACAATACGATGACACGGACCACCTTATGCTCTACATTGAGTCCATCCATGGATGAGACGATTATAGTTGTATACTTTATAAAAAAATAGTATTTTTTAATATATTTTAGTTCATATACGATTATTTATCTTAAAATTATCGAACACTTGTTAACATAATATATACGTTAGGATTTGTTTTCCTTCTTTCATCTCTTTTGACTTTCATGTGATTGATTTAATTTTTTGATTGATTTCGATCGAAGTTGTTTGTTTACCTCTTAATAGTTCCATTAAGAGTCGGCATTTGAATCATTAAAAAGTGAATCGACAAAAAAAAAGTCTACATATTAATGGTTTTAAAATCCTCTAAATGTTTTACATCATGGGGCTCCTTTAACCATTCAGCGCCTAATTTCATTGTAAACAATTATCAAACAATTATATTTCATTTTGCACTATATCATGAGAGCCTCTTAATCATTCTACACCAAACCATTCAGCAACTACCAAACAACCCCTTAAGAAACTTTTTTTTTTAAATTTTTTGGTTTTTAGATCGATTTTGACGGACTTACTCAGTTTTTTGGGTTGATTTTGTATAATTTCACAACTTTAAGCTCGGATCTAATTAGTCTTCTATACTTACGTATTGTCTTAAGTCATGTTTGATAACGATAATTTTTAAATTCTTTTATTTATAATAAATAATTTTTTTACTCTTGTGATATTTGATGACGTAAATACCTGTTTATGATAAGATTACAGAGAAATTGACGATAAACTTGATATCCATGTCATTAAATATTACGAGATAACCACTTGATTTGTCGGCTTGTGTGCAATGGTTAATACTCATGAGGATGCAGTGAAAATCTTATCTTCCCCTGGTTCGAATCCATGCACTACCAAAACCTTCTGTGGCCATGGAGGTGTGCGTAAATTGTCTCGAAAACCAACAGACGTACTTTAACTTGATTCTTATTTTGGGTAACGTACTTTCAAAACATCTATTTTGGTACCTAAGATGTAGAGTTTTAAACATTTAAGTACCCGGATAACCGGTTGAAATATTAATCGGTTATCATGCTGATGTGATGGTTTTTTAATCGATGAAACTAAACTAACACCCTTATATACCTTAATAACCATTAATTTCTCTAAGGAGGAATAAAAATCCCCTTGTGGTCACGAAGATTCAAATGCGATGACTTCGGAGTACCCGCAAAGCAGGTGGTCGTCCTGGGATTAGTCGGCTCGCATAACGGGTTGGATATCCAGGTTAATAAAAAAAATAACCATTAATTTCTACCTCATATGACATATTATACAGATGAATGGTTATCAGAGTGTTTTATTCACGTCATTTAGAACCTTAAACTAGCCTCTCATAAAATCAAGTTAGGGTCTATTTAGTCTTCTATAAGTGTTAATTATGCAACAATGTTGACTTCGTTTATCCCAACGAATCGTTCCATGGGCTCCGACATCGCCATCATGAGCGATCTTGATTTCGTTCATCTGTACGGTATCCTTCTTTAAATAAATGATTCATATGTGAATCATTCAAGTAAAACATGGAAAAATCCATTTGAAGATACGTACTTGAACTCACCTTCGTTTACTTACATTTTTACCAATTATTCACACGTAAAGATGCATGTATATATACATGTATGAATCTACATCTCATTTTACCAATAATTCACATATGAATGTTCTCAATCTTTAAGGAAGACATGAATGCCGCACTCGATTGCAAATCTGGCATTCCGATAGAACAAGCCGAAAAGAACGATGTGGAAATGGTACCGAAGGAAACACGAGTGACCGAAGAGGATGAGGCCATGATCCAATCTGTCGTGTCTGGTAAAACGCCATCTTACTCGTTGGAGTCGAAGCTTGGGGAGTGCAAGCGTGCGGCATTTATCAGGAGAGTGGCCTTGGAGAGGGTAACGGGCAAGTCTCTTGACGGTTTGCCGCTAGACGGCTTGATTACGAATCCATATTTGGACAGTGTTGCGAAATGCCGGTTGGTTATGTCCAAATACCTGTGGGTATTGCTGGCCCGATGTTGCTGGACGGAAGGGAGTTTTGGGTTCCGATGGCGACCATGGAAGGGTGTCTTGTGGCTAGCACCAACAGGGGTTGTAAGGCCATTTATGCCTCCGGTGGAGCCACCAGCATCTTACTCAAGGATGGCATGACTCGAGCACCGGTCGTCAGGTTCGGCACCGCGAGAAGGGCGGCCGATATGAAGTTCTTCTTGGAGGAACCACGGAACTTCGAGACTCTTGCCTCGGTTTTTAACAAGTAAGACACTTCTAGTTTCTAGCGAAACACTACTAAGGGGTTGTTTACTGGTACAAGCACGGTAAACGTTAACCGGGTAATAGTATGGTAGGGTCAGCACTAATCACAGACCGAGTAAGAGGTCGTTTATCAAACGCTTACTGAGTAAGCACATACCGGGTGTCACTTACCTTAACAGGAGAGGAGAGCATATCAAGGACTAAGGATCTTAATTACCCAGTAAAAAGTATATGATGGACCAAGAATCTTACCTTGTAAGTGGGAGATAAACTCTTACTTGGTAAGCACTTACCGTGTAAAAAACTCTTATCACTACAACAAAATTGGGTTTATAGGACACTCCCAAATTGTAAGCGTCCTAATAGACCTCTTTATAGGACTTAGTTTATAGGACCAAAAAAATAAAGTGTCTTATCTAATGGTGTTGTATTAAGTTTATATGACGTTTTTTGATGTCGTAATGAATTTTTTAGGACACTTTTAATATAAAGCGTCCCATTATCAACTTTATAGGACACTATTTGAAAAAATATTCTATAAAAACAAGTGTCCTATAAAAAATTGAGTTTATAGGACAATTTCTCAAGAGTGTCCTATAAAGTTGCTAATACGACATTTTGTATTAAAAATGTCCTTAAAAACTTGTTAAGACGCTCAAAAGTGTCGTATAAACTTATTACAACACCTTTAGATAGGACGCTTTATGTTTTGAGCCTATAAATTAAGTCCTATAAAGCGGTCTATTTGGACAGTTAGAGATTGGGAGTGTCCTATAAACCCAATTTTGTTGTAGTGTATCAATAATTAATTTTGATGACAGAGAATATTACCCCCTAAGATAAGTGAACTGTTGTGACTATCTCCGGTAAGCTTTTGGAAAACGACCCTTAAGAGACCCTCCTTAGTTTACCACTTCAGCATCATGGACCGGTCCATGATGCTAAGCGAGATATGACCAGTGATCCGGTAAGTATACAGAGGGATTCTTACTCGGTCAGTGATTAGTGCTGACCCGTGTTACCCGGTTAGTGTTTACTGGTTTCTGTTAGTAAACGGCCAATTAACGTTAATATGCTTTTGCAACTTGTACTAGTATTAGTTGATTAATTTTGGTTGGATAAAATGATTTGCAGATCGAGTCGATTCGGGAGGCTTCAGAAAATCCGATCTTCGATTGCAGGGAAGAATCTATACATAAGGTTCACTTGTAGCACCGTCGATGCAATGGGAATGAACATGGTCTCGAAAGGCGTTCAAAACGTTTTGGAGCATCTCGAGTCCGACTTTCCCGACATGGACGTTATCGGCATCTCCGGCAACTATTGTTCCGATAAGAAACCGGCGGCCGTGAATTGGATAGAGGGAAGAGGCAAATCGGTGGTTTGCAAGGCAATCATAAAGGAAGAAATCGTGAAGAATGTGCTGAAGACGGATATAGCTTCGTTGGTGGAGTTGAACATGCTCAAGAACYTGGCCGGATCCGCCATGGCYGGTGCTCTCGGTGGGTTCAACGCCCACGCYAGTAACATCRTGTCRGCGGTGTACCTTGCCACCGGCCAAGATCCGGCCCAGAACATCGAAAGCTCCCACTGCATCACCATGATGGAAGCGGTGAACAACGGCAAAGACCTTCATGCGTCTGTAACCATGCCGTCAATCGAGGTTGGGACCGTGGGTGGTGGAACTCGGTTGGCTTCACAAGCGGCATGCCTTAACTTGTTGGGAGTTAAGGGTGCAAACAAAGAATCGGCTGGATCAAATGCAAGACAGTTGGCTAAGGTGGTCGCTGCCGCGGTTCTAGCCGGAGAGTTGTCTCTCATGGCGGCACTCGCGGCAGGACAACTCGTCGATAGCCACATGAAATACAACCGCTACGGCAAAGATGTTATCGTTGCGAAATCTTAAACCTTTGTATGCATATGGTATGTCTTTTTAAGAGTTATAAGCATATGCCTTGTAATTTAGTTAAATAAAAGCACCAATAATTATCTATACTGCTTTATAAATCAGATTTATCAAAAGTCTTAAAAACAACTTTTAATACACAAAGTACTATACATTTATGCACAAAGTCTTATAAGTATTAAAAACAACTCATAATGCATTAATTACTACTAGTTTATTGATTCAGACTTAACATCTTTTAATCTACAATTAAAATAACATATAGTACAAGTTACCAATGCACATTATTACTTTTTCTTTTTCATGTTCCCAAGATACTTTTGACACATTTCACTCATGCCATCACCCTCTCATACCTCTATGTCTTCTCCCCATGAGATTCAAACTGATATTAACCATGAGTTATTAAAAAGTTCTCTCATTCATCTCTCATTCAATTGCTCTAGAACTCTCGATCTCGCTCTCGATCTCTTGATTCTTTGCTCTTGGTATAAATCGAACACATTTGTGGAGTCGTTTAAAAATGTTGGATTTTAAATATATTGGATTTTAAACTGTCATACAGCTTTTTTCATTGATAGACTGTAATTGGAACCATAACTCTTATTTATTCAAATTGTATTAATATGTAAATACCAAGTGTAACTTATATCATCGTTAAATCTTCTCTAATAAAACCAATGAAACTTCAGAATTGTTAAAATTCACAGCTCCCGCCGTATTGCGCGGGTACACGACTAGTATATTTTTAAAACTATATATTTTTTTGTTGTTGTAGACATTTATCTTATCATATGAATATGGCAAGAACCGAGAGAGTCTTGTCTGGTAAATTAAAGTGATGACTCTTATCCGATTAGCTTTTATCGGGTGAATTGTTACATACGATGTTGTTTTAATATTCTAGAATCTTACGCGCTAAGGTAAGCAAAAATGTTGACCTCGTGTATAACGAGCATCAAACAATACATGGAATCTTTTTCACTTTTTATGACATGTCTGGCTAGTTTATGAAAAAAAAAAAGTCAGAAATTCCTTAAATTGGCTAAGGAGGCGTTTACCCAACTTTTACTCGATAAGTAGTTATCGGTAAAATTTAGCACTTTTATTTAACTTATTAGATAAGATTTTAATCTATTAAAATGATATTGTATACAATATTTTTATCCGGCAAGCGTTTACGGGGTAATACTATCGGTCCTTGTATCTCTCTTATGGGATAAGATTCTCAATCCTTGTAATATTCTTCCGATAAGATAAAGTATCCTGGTAAGCACTTAACAGGTAAACGTTTAATAAACGGTTCCTAAATAATTTAACAGATTGATCATCTACGATAATACGTTACAAGATGGTTGTTTTTTAACCGATTTAGTAATCTGTTGGAATTTTACATGATTTCACTTAATTTTATCTGCAATAATGTTTTAAAATATGTTAAAAAGACTCTTTTACAATAAATTAATTAACAAAAGACAATTTAACTATTTTTATAATTATTTAAAATTCATTTCTAGTACAAGGATGGATGATTCATGTACCTAGGTTGGGTTTATATGAGACAAAGTTGTTTTCGTGAGACATAATTTTTACACTTGAAATTCACAATAAAATGTTGTGAAGATATAAAAAAGTCGAATTTTCACAGCAAAAACAAAGTTGTTTTCGTGTTTGTTTGTTTGCTCGGTTAAATTAACCGAACAAACATGAACAAACCTCAATTCGTTTACTATTAATATTCATATTTTAGGTTGCTAAAGAAGACAGGAGAATGAAAGAGACAATAGAGAAACCAAATGCAGAGGAGAGAGAGAGTAGTGACAGAGGGCAAATTAGACATTTATCTTTCTAATTAAAAAAATGACATTTAATTAAAGTCGTAGGATTAAATTGGATGGATGTTCACGATTAGTTCTCCGAATCTTAAAATATATTTGGTTTTATGGTTCTTTTGTAAACCTACGAAAACCAATTTTAAAGTATTGTTTTATCAAATGTTATGTTGTAAGGTGAGAAGCGTAATAACGGATCTTCATCATTAGATGTATGTTAGAATGAAATGTACCGGATCAATATCTATATCAAGTGCGATTCATGAATGAGTTTGAGATTAAATGAGATCAAGGTCCAGATCTTTTCTTATGTTTCACCCATTAACTCTGCTTCTCACACGATCTTTTATCTTGTTCCATATGTATTTGTTTCATAATGTAAAACTTTTGACATGTATATATGTGACATTTACCTCAGGGGCCAAGGCCCTTGCGATTTTTTTATCTCCTAGGTCGGTAAAGCTAAGTCCATTAGAGTTCGGTTCACGTAAGGCCAATTTATTTTTGTGAGACCATGAGACCACAAAATATTATTGGAACTTCACAGTAATTTATTGTGAAAGTATGAAAAACGACGAACATTCACAATGTTTTTGTTGTGAAGGTTCAATATTATTGAAATGGCTTCATAGTTTTAGCTAGTTGCCACTATTATTTGATTTCCTTCTCTCTCTCTTTACACACACACATACATATATATATATATATATATACATACATATATATATATACACACACACATATAGAGGTTGGTTATTATACAACCCTTGACATTTGTGCAACCAATACAACCTTTGACATTTGTGCAACCAATACAACTCAATCTCAACCGTCCATTTCATTTGATGAATATGTGATTTCATAGAAGTTTTGATTGTTTCCTAATATAAAGTATTAATCATAATTAATGAACTCTATTCATATTCCATAAATATTCAAATCATAATAAATGAACTCTCATCATTTCTATAAATATCT